AAGATCACATCAGAAGCCTATAGAATACTCGGATTTATACTTAGGTCGGGTAGAGAATTTAACGATGTACGCACACTTATTCAATTATATTCGACATTGGTGCGTTCAAGACTTGAATACAGCACAGTTGTTTGGTCACCATATACAAATTTCCTTAGTGGAAAAAATACATAAAAAATTCTACAAATACATCACATATTACATGCAAAACAGAGGATATAATATAAGCGTCGAGAACGTCTTCGATGATTTCAACATCGACAATCTGATAAACCGGAGAGAAATTTCGGATCTTATGTTTTTTTTATTAGACTATCAATGGACAAATTGATTGCCCAGAGATATTGGAACAATTCCAATTCATATGCCCAAAATCAGGTTTGAGATCGTACGGGTATCGTATCGTACCGTTACCTACGATCGTATCGTTAGGTTATTGAATGCAGTGAAATCGTCGAAAAACTACGTATGTCAAGGCCCTAAAACAGAATAGTTAGCCTGGTAACTAAGTACTGTTCAGAAATAAATTTTTTTGGAGGTTCTACTTCTACATTTTTATCATAGATGAAAAACATTAAATTTGATAGATAAAGTATTGTATTTCTACAGATTACTGTATTCATTCAGTGTGCAATTAATTAATATATTATAACTGCAAATTGTATTATAACATAAAAGGATAAAGCCGATTGGCGTAAATAAATAAATAAATAATTTTTTCTCAACTTTTAAACTAATTAGATTAAATAAAACGCTTAACTTTTTAGTTTAAAGTAAAAGCATTAATTTTTAAATAAAATTTTTTAAAAAATTACAATTATTTTCAGCCTAAAAATAAACATTATTGACATTTTTTCACAGATTCCTTGCCTGGTGGCCGGTTTGGAGACATTGATGAACGTTTCCCGGTATTAAAGACTCGAGCCCAGCAACCAACTTCAGTGCCATCACCTCCTGATGCTCAGTGGAATGACATGGGACCTCACCATGGCAGGCCTGGCATGTGGGAACAGCATCCACCTCCTTGGGCCCGTGGATTGGGACCAGCAGGCTCCATGGGGCCCATGCCAGGCCCACAGTTTCCAAGAATGATGCATAGTGGTCCATTTCATCGTCAGCATGGTCCTGGTCAAGACTTTCCCCCGGGCCCTAATAATTTTGGTCCCATGACTAGGTGGAGGCCAGGGCAGTTCAATAGACCTCAGTTTGAAGGAGAGATGGATGGAAGGTAGTGTAGGGGAATTTTTTGTTGGGCTGGTTTTCTTTCTTTAAGAAAAATGTTCATTACTACTGTTCCTCTCCAAATTGATAACTTTGAGAGATCTTATAAGATAAGTCTTACTTTTTAATACTTTAGAGTTCAGAGTTTTCCTTCTAGAATAATGAATGTAAAGAGAACACTTAACTTTAATTAAATATATATTTTTTTTGTTTTATTTGTGCATATTGTGAAATTGTTTAATTGGAATGAAATTGAATTTTTGTTGGTAACTTTTGCTTGGTGGGTAAAACCAGGCCTCGTTTCAGGTTTGAACAGTACAATATGCGATTCCCTCGTGGAGGAGGTGGTGGT